GTGTCTACATTTCAAGACATGTTGCTTTTGATGAACATTTTTTACCTTATACAGATCTAACAAAAATGTCTAAGAATGTCACTACAGATGGAGAATTTTGCAAGTTTCCAGACTTAGATGAGTGGTTTCAAGCTTCTTCCCATCTTTAGCCCTCACGACATGTAGATGAACTTGAAACTAATTCCCAATCACAGTATCAACATGCCATAGATTGTCAAGATGAAAGGGAGCATTTTCAGCATCTACCTGAACCCACAACAGTACCTGATCCAGCCGGGGTAATGGGAGTTATACCTCAACAGCACCAGGATTCCTCTCCACAACATCAAGACAATGCCAACTTGAATGTTTTAGAAATTGGGCAAAATTCCATGGTCTCACATCTAGCAGAAAATCAACAAAACAATGTAGATGTGACTAGTGGAGATCCACACCAAATTATTGAAGCTGTGGCTTGGCATGAAGTCCAAAATCGAAATATTCAGGGAGTCTCACCACCTTTTCATAACACTACTTCTATTTCTACTCATCCTAGGCTTACAAGAACTCGGATTGGTATAGATACAGGACATGTGAAAACAATTTTTCCAAAAAATGCTAACACCATGATTACTAATGACATATCTTCTGCAGGTCTTGACATCAAAGAGCCCAAAAATGTCCAATAGGCCCTTCGAGCCCCCCATTGGCTTTAAGCAATGAAGGAAGAACTTGCTGCACTTCATCAAAACAATACATGGAACCTAGTGCCTCCTCCACTAGAGACAAATATTGTTGGCTCAAGATGGGTCTTCAAAACCAAGCTACATCCCGATGGCACGGTAGAAAGGTTTAAAGCATGACTAGTGGCTAGAGGCTTCTCTCAAGTTCCTGGAGTTGATTTTGATGAGACTTTTAGCCTTGTCCTCAAACCAACCACTCTTTGTATGGTCCTTGCTCTTGCCACAACATGTGCTTGGCCTCTCCGACAACTTGATGTGAAGAACTCCTTCCTTCATGGTGAACTCAAGGAGACAGTTTATATGAATCAACCACCAGGTTTTGAAGATCTGACATACCCTCACTATGTTTGCCAATTAAATCGCTCCATTTATGGTCTTAAACAAGCTCCAAGGGTCTGGTTTGACACCTTTACACTACATCTTTTGAGTATGGGCTTCTTTTGTAGTCAAGCAGACTCCTTATTGTTTGTCTTGCATAATCCTCAAGGAACAGCCTTGCTACTTCTATATGTTGATGACATTGTGCTCACGGCAAGCTCGGATGAACTACTACCGTGTATTATTGACAATCTTAGCCCTAAATTTGCTATCAAGGATCTTGGCACTCTTCGATATTTCTTGGGTATTGAAGTCACTAGCTTTTCTGGAGGAATTTTTCTATCTCAAGCTAAATATGCTCGTGACATCCTTACTCAAGCTTCAATGCTAGAAGCCTCTACTATTTCTACTCCATTAGCCATAAAGGATCCTGTTACACTACGAGATAATGAGTTAGTTGATGAACATGAATACAGAA